CGCTAGGTTGACGTGCTCGTCAGCCTCAACCTGCACTCTACTGGATTTTATTGTGTATATCAATCATGCTAATACAAACATAAACCTATGAACCCAGTATCAGTTATCCAACAATAAATATTCTGCACTAGCCAAAAGGTTTGAGAACACCTACTACAGAGACTACTCTAACTCATTGAGACGCTACTGTAGCTACATAAACCCTGGAATGTTCAAATCACGCCCGCGCCAGGTGCAGCCTCCCGATAGGGTTTTCGTGACTTTGGGCGCTTACGGTACCTCCTCTTCTGCGGAACAGCGCTGCCACCGTACTTCCCCATGCAACGGTTCTTGTTGTGACCGTGCATCTTGCAAACGCTGCACTTGTATGGATGCACGGCCTTCTCTACGCGAGCGTAGCTCGGCGGGCGGCCGGTAGCGGTGCGACGAAAAGGCGGAGCATCGCACACGCCTGGGGGGGGCAGCCTCTTCTCAAGGATGATGCGGTCCACACAGGACCCCCGCACCGTTGAAGAGTACGTCTCTGCCCAATTCTTTGTGGTGTAGAAATCAGAGACGAGAGTGCGGGGGTCTAGCTTCCGCTTCACAGCAAAGGCCACAGCATGGGAGCACGGAAACTGGTATTGGTCCCAGTTTGTGCAGTCGCATGTATTCGCCGCCAAGTTGACGTTGAAGGACCTCCATTCTTTGGGATCATCGGTGTCCCTGGTCTGGATGGTTCCTTCTACATGGTCCCCGCCCAACAGCTCATACCCCTCCGCCCGTGTCTCCTTCTCCACCATCCGCTCCTCTGCTGCCTCTGTCAGGAGATCAGTTCGCTCAAGAGCCGCCATCTTATGTTCACAATACCTATTGCGATACCAGTCCATGAGACCCCCTAGCATCGGGGTCACCGGCAAGCGCCGAATGGGCACGATGGAGCTGTTGACCTGCTCAGCCGCGTTGCTGGTGAAGATCCCGAAGCGTCGAGTAGGGGCCTTAAGGCGAGTCCAGTGGACAAGGTTGATGCCCAACTTCTTCCTTGTACCACGCTTTTTCTGCCTAGACCCGGTCCGCACGTGTGTGGTGTGGTCCCCATCCGCGACACCGGAGTCTGGAGTGTTGTCATCGTCGTCCACGCCAGCCTCTGCCTGCACCCCCTCTGCTGTGGCAGGTGCTTCCGCATCTTCTGCATCTGCCTCCTCTGCATCTGCCTCCTGTGCAGATGCATCCTCCTCGTCGTCCTCTTCAGCATCGGCCGCTGGGTTAACCCCGGGGTTAGCACTGCCGACATCTGGCCACGGGTGATCCAAAGAGACCAGGACCAATGCCTGGCAGATGCTTCCCTCGTTGGGTTCCTCTTCATCCTCAGCCGGGTTTCCGTTCGATCCAGTTGCACGTGGCAGGTCCGTACGGATGGAGTTGGGGATGTAACCTGTCCTTACACGTCTCAGGATGCGTGCATAATCGAAAAGTTGTGCACATGCAGGCGTCGATCCAGACGGACGAGCTGGCGGCGAGTTTGTGGCAGGGGACTCGGCCGGCTGAGCCATAGGGTCAGCAGTGCTTTGAGTCGGTGGCTCTAGTTCGGTCGGTGTGGCTCCCGCCGCGCTGGTGTCTTCCGCACAATGCCCATGCGCACGTGAAGTAGTGCCGCGACCCATGGCAGCACGTGCTGCATCACGATCCTGGCGACGATTCTCGGCTGCTTGTTGACGTGCCTCAGCTGCTGTTGTGGGAGCTGGACGTTGCTGCTCACTTGCATCTGTAGGTGAGGTGTCCGAGATCGGCTTCACAATGCCGAGGAGATAATTAGCCATTGGTGCAAAGTCACGCCGACAGGCCGCCACCAAAGCGTCCCATTTGTCGTCAAGCCTGCACTTCACAAGACGCCAATAGAACAGAGCAGCTGCTTCTCCAAACTTGACAACATTCTGGTGAAGATGCCATGCACAGAAGTAATGGGGTATGCCAAGCGGAAGAACATCTCGTGCAGCCGGAAGCAAACCCTTGTCGCGGTCGCTGATGATGGATGCGTCTTCACGGTGCGGCCACTCCGGGAAGCTCTTCAAAAAGTTCTGCAGAAACCAACTCCACAAATCCTTGTTCTCTCCTTCGACCAAAGCCCACGCCAGCATTGTAATCTTCTGGTTGCCGTCCAGTACCACGGCAATCAGAAGGGTTGCGTGCTGTGCACTGATGAGGAACGTTCCGTCCAATGCAACAACGGGGCGGCAAAAACCAAGCGCACCGCGAGAAGCGGACGGCTGTATGTACATGCGGTTGAAACAGCCGTCGACCATCTGAATCAAGAAGTTTCCATCCGGGTCTATCTCCCGGAACCTATCAGCCAACGCGGGGAGCAACCTGAACGACTCTTGCCAATCCCCATACATCTCCTTCTGGATTTCTTCACGCAGCCGCCATGCCTGCTTGTAACTGATCTGGAACTTGCTGTGGGACGTGAGAATCTGCTGCAAAATCTTCGCCGAAATAAACGGTGCGCCACGAACAAGGTTGCCCCAAAGCCGCTTCATGACCTTCACGCTGTTGGCGATGGCGTTTGCTCCTTGCTCTCGCTTGTACTTCTTGCAGACGTGTGATTCAGGAGGGGAGAGGGGTGTCACCATCCAGAAGCCGCCATAAACAATCCTGCTATAACTACACTTCCAGGGGCATATTGGCTTTTGTCCATACATGGCGGTTTTGCATTGGAGAATAACGTGCGCGTCCGCCACCTCCACAGTCGCGAATCCAAAACGATGATGCAACGCGTGGGCCTGCACAGCCTTGAGGGCCTTATCCCTCGAGGAGTAGATACCTCCTTGCCTCAATGGGGCATTATCCTTAGGAGCTTTTGGTCGGCCACAGGCTACGGGGGGAACGTTTCTCATTGCCTCTAGAATGTTATTCGCTAACCGCTCCGCGCGTTCCCTGGGTTCCGACATGGCAGCTATTGAGGAGAAAAACGTGCGTGGAGCACCTTATGGCTGAGCTTGGTACTTTGAAAGGGCCACCAAATCGGCCAGTGCAGTGAATACGAAATGGACACAACCGTGAGTAGATGACTGAACAACCATGATGGCCTCGTTATTTTCGCGCGAATGTGAATTCAAACGCGGGAAATTCAGTGCGATCGAATCGATGCGATGTGGTCCTACTGAACTGCTTCACGGGACGGTCGTTAGACCTCTACGGTGGCCCGTGAACTGTAAAAACTGAATGCGCGCAAAAATATGCGATATGAGCCGTTCAAGCTGTTATACGGGCCATCCGTGTGCTTGTTACGGGCCACACAGAAAGCGTTAGTGGCGGGAAATCTGCGCGCCCGTCAAACAAGTACTGTACTTCCGCGGTTGAGGCAAAATATCAGCGCGAAATGATTGTTCGCACTGTTCTGAACGTGTTTCCTGGGTGGCGTAATGATTATTCAGGGAAGTCAGTTGTATTTCTCGCCTGGGGCAGAAACCGTCTGTGATCGAAAAACTCGTAAAAACCTACAAAATGACTACTGATGGCGAAAACTGACCACGGGAATCGGGCGCGATCGCGTGGCAGGAGGCCTGTAAAAACCACTGCCCGTTGGAATTGAAGACGAGAAAGCACGGCGCTTCGTCATTCCCTCTCGATAATTGCTCGAGTGGCCTTGCCAGGGAATTCCCGCAGCCTATTTTTTACCCGGCACAATACGTTACAAGGGTTTTTATCCCCGAATTTCTTTGATCGCGCTCATATTGGTTACTGCGCAATTTTTTATAGCCGAAATTTATGTCCTTGACCATATGTAACCGCGCCTGATTGGACGCGCATTGCCAAAAAAAGGCTCCGCGCATATAATCGACCAATCATGCGCGGTCATTAAGGGTGTCGCTCATTGTTGCTCGGGCATTGAAGTTTATGATCGCGAATATATATGATCGAGCGTAATTGGTCACGTGATTACATAATCGAGCGCTCATTGGTCACGTATTGTACAGAAAATGAGCGCGCAATTACTGTAATTGAAAAAAAGTCACCGCGTATATAATTGACCAATCAGGTGCGGTTATAAATTTCGGATATATAAGATCGCAAAGTTTTCGGGGATAAATATCATTGTAGGGTAATGTTCCGGGTAAAACAAAGACTGAGGGAATCCCCAGGCAAGACCACTCGAGAAATTATCGTCTAGATGTTGAACCACGCGATCGAATAAAGACCACGTTCGCAACACCCAATCTTCAAACACGGGTTTGGAGCAAATCTCTCGGACGAAGAAGAGTGGAGGTAGCTGGTGGGAGGCACTGAGTGAAAAGCGAGGGGAGGGGATTCCAGTGATGGGAGGGGGAAGGGGTGAAGGCAGGGGAACCGAGGGGAAAATAAGTGGTGAGGGGGGGGGAGGTGGGGGAGTAGGGGAAGGAAATGAGCGGAAATGAGTTGAGGAGTACGTTACGAACAAACTCTTGGGATTTGGGTTTCGGGTTTCCGTCTACCCGATTTAGTTTTGAGATGTCTCAATTCGCTTGAGATTCGAGTTAATGGTTTCCATCTGCACCATTCATAAGCTGCTAATGCCTATATATTGTCAATTGTTTAATTTCGTCCATCCACTCAATGCCAAACTGATCTGGCTTTTTGACCGACAAAATGTTACGCGTTTCGAGAAAGCCGCCACACCTAAGCCACGATGGCGGTCCCCCAGCCACAAGATACACCAAACCGAAAACATTTCGAGCCGCGCATTGAAAATGTTGGAGGCGTGGAGTTGGAGCCGCGCGAATTTTCATGGTTATGGTTTTCGATCAGGCGGAGCAGCACACCACCGTCGGCAGTTGGCGAGAATCTCAAATGTTCAAATAGCCATGGATGTTCCATTTCTACAGCAGATTCATACTTGGCGTTCAGTTCCTTGTCCAACTCCGCGTATTTCCTTCCTTCCATCAAAAGACTTCGTAGTCGTCGCCATGGCTAGGTTTCTCTCTCTCGCACTTCTTGCGGTCGTCGTCGTTGGGATGGTTACTCCCCTGGTGGCAGCGCAGAAGATGACGCTGTACGAGAAGAACCTGAACGACGCAATTACCGTCGTCAAGGCGAAACCAGGTTACAAGGCCTTCGCATCGCTCGTCGGCGCAATTCGTAAGTACACCTAAACGAGTTTCGCATCAGTTTTGATGACGATCAGTTTTCTTTCGAAACCGTCACCGTCATTCCCTGCTACTAATCTGGCGGCATATTTCCGTCGCAATCGTCTGCAATCGTCGTAACATGGCCTCGACGAGCACAAAAAATCGTTACATTGCGATGTCGTCTCATCCCTTCCTCCCCGATTCTCCAACCACAGTGAAGCAATCTCAGCTGAAGAGTCTCGTCCAGCAGAACCTGACCATCTTCGTTCCCAACGACAAAGCTCTTACCGAATTCAACCTCACCCAGTACGCCACCGCCGACCTCCTTAAAGTCGTCAAGTTCCACGCCGTCAAGGGCACCTACACCTTCGCGCAGCTACAGGCTCTCGCCGCTTCCGGCGGGAAGCTCCAGACGACCTTCGGAATGCCGATCACGCTGACCCCGACGAAGAAGGGCGTCGGCATGTTCGGCATGGAGAAGATCGGCGCCGCTGTCCTCGATAAGGACATCTCCATTAAGCCGACGGTGGTCGCGCAGGGAATTTCCCGCGTGCTTAAGCCTAAGGGGTTCGTTATCAAGGGCGCGAGCGCGGTTCCCCCGACGACTAAGTCACCCTCGACCAAGTCTCCGACTCCTACGACCACCCCGCCCAAGACTCCGAAGACTCCCAAGACCCCCAAGACACCTAAGACCACCGCCTGAAAGGGTGCTAAAGGGGGTTCTCCCCTGACGCTGCCAGGTGTCGAGCGGGGGAATGGAGCTACTATACTGTAGCCGAAGACACGTGGCTTCTGTCAACGGTGTTGGAGCTACATAGATCCCTTATTGGGAAGCCATAAAAATAAGGCTAATACGTTAGATTTAGACGATAACGTGCAGGCAGTGCTTTGTTGCACGGCCAGTGACATGCTTTATTCGATTTATTTCACAAAGATAATATAATCCCGAAATCACATTTTGAATCCGATGTTTTGACATTGACACAGAATGTCAGCAATTGGCCAGTAATTTTGAAACTGTGTTCTGTGCAACATGGGACCCTCACATCCAAACGCGAGACAGCCCTTAGGGCACGGTAAAAGTGCGAATATCGCAGGATCGTACCCGTATATCGAGTCGCACAATCGCAGACGTCGTTGTAACGATCTCCCTTAAAGCTCGCGTCTCATATTTTCTCCGTTTAAAGCCCGAGTCTAGAATGGTAAGGGTTCAACTTCAAGATTCTTGAACTTGAGTTCGACAAGAACAGGGTAACCAGGTTGAGAAAGCTTCTCCCTCGCGACCCACCGAGAAGGGAGTTGTTGGGCCAGAAGGTGATGCACCACAGCAAAAACAGCGACAAGCCTCGCCAGAAACAAACAAGAACAAGTACCACTGTTCACACTTTCAGAACTTGAAACTCGAGAATACACTACTAGACTCGTAGTATAGTGTGCTCCATAGCCCTAGTTCTCGTCGTTAGCTTTGTATAGTTACGCCCATCTCCGTACTATGCTAAGACTTAAGTAGCACATAGAGACGGCCCTTCCCGTCGACTTTTCCGTGCATAACAAGTGCGATCTGGTAGCCAGCAGAAAATACAGAATGCCGCCTCGATTGATCGCCATCGTAAGAATAACTCCTCGCCACTGACGGTTATATCGCGTTAGACGATGTTAAACTAAGAAGATAGGAATGATAGCAGAAGAAAGGGGGGCTGCACTAGCATGCATGGGAGTACATAAAGGGAAGCCCTAAAAGGGTTGTACTCTCTGTCAAAGTACCATCTTGTAGGCTATAGTGGGGCACTCCTTATGGGGTACAACACTTCTAGGGTTAGTACTTGTACCCCAAGTCTTGCTAATCCAATCATTCCTGCATAGTTCTCTCGATATGGTTTCAGAGCAGGTCCATCTATAGGACCACTCGTTTATGTTAGAATCATAGGCAGAAAAAGTGATGTCGACTATCGAGAGGGTTGGTACAAAGAATGAACCTAAGGGGTTGTACCCCACAGTGTGTACCCCACTAAGCCTACCCAAACTATAACATAGATATACATATGTTTGACACACCCCCATAGGCAGAGTGGGGGAGAACAGAGGGTCATAAGACCAGTCAGGAAGTGCAAAGCAAGCTCAGGGTGGATCACAACGTCACCACGCAGTCTGAACACAAGCAAGAAGGCCACAAGGCCAGTTCACATGCAGAGATATATATGTAACAACAACAGTACAGTGATATCTACCTACAAGAACAAGCATGCAGGAATATATAGAAATCATGGTACAAACAAAGCCTACAGCAAGTGAGGAACCGTGGGCACAAGGCCTAACAAAGTGCAGAAACGCTGATGATCACCAGGCGGAAGTGCCTTGGTGAATATATCAGCAGTGTTGGCCCGAGTGGCCACGTAAGTAAGACGAAGCTGGCCACGCTGCTGCAGCTCTCGAGCAAGAAAGTAACGGAGAGCGATGTGCTTCGTTCTGTGCTCCAGGCTGTGCTCCTGACACAAGGCAATGGCGGCCTTGTTGTCGACGTACAGCACTGGAGGAGAACGAGGCCGCTCTCCCAAGTCAGTCAGCAGGTAGGTGAGCCAGCGAAGCTCCTGTGCAGCCATGGCTGTGGCGTAGATCCCAGCCTCACAACTGGAGCCGAGAACTGAAGACGAGCGTGTAGAACGCCAAGACACTGAACCAGAGCCAAGGCTGAAGGTGTAACCCTGTGACGACCGCTGCGTAGCCTGGTCGTCAACCCAAGAGGCGTCCGAGTGACCAGTGAGGATAACGTCACCCCGTCCTCCAAGCACGAGCCCCATGCCTGATGTACTGCACAAGTAGCGTAGTACCCTCTTGGCTGCATCCATGTGCACCTTTCGGTGCCGACCAGGAGCCACGTAGCGAGCCACAAGGCCAAGAGGGTACGCAAGGTCAGGACGAGTGCAAGTCATCAGGTACATGAGGCAGCCCACTAACTCTGGGTAAGGACAACTCGGCTCTACGGACTCGTCCGAAGGTGGAGCTGAGAGCGAGTGACCTGTAGCCAGAGGAGTGGCCTGTGCAGAGGACCAGGTGAAACCGAAGCGCTGAAGGACCTGCTGCACCATGTGTGACTGAGTCAGTGTGATGGTGCGGCGTGCTCTGTCCCGGGTGATCTGCAAGCCAAGGTAGCTGCGCAGTTCACCCAGGTCTGTGCACGTGTGTCTCTTCTGCAGCTCCGACTTCACCAGGGCGAGAGCCTCAGTGTCAGCAGTGGCAAAGACCAAGTCGTCGACGTACACGAGAACGTAGAACGGCGGCAGCGAAGTGTCGGTGCGCAAAAACAGCGACGGGTCAGCAGTCGACGGAGCAAACCCAAGAGCCGCAAGTGTCGTCCTCAGTGTGTCGTGCCACTCACGTGGCGCCTGGCGGAGACCTTAGACCGGCCGCCGGAGGCTCCACTGGGTACCAGGAGGGAACGACCCAGTGAAACCAGGAGGGCGGCGCAGCCAAATCTCCTCGTGCAGGCTGCCCTGTAAGAAGGCTATGCTGAAGTCAAGAGAGTGAAGCTCGTAGTCACGTTGAGCGGCAACGTGCAGCAGCACCCGAAGAGTGGTCATCTTTGGGGTGGGGGAGAAGGTCTGGAAGAAGTCAACTCCCTCTCGCTGACTGAAGCCTCGAGCCACGTAACGAGCCTTGAAGACAGGCGGAGAACCTCGCGGCCGCTTCACCCTGAAAATCCACATGCCACTGACAATGTTCGCCCCAGGAGGGGGAACCTCGTCGACGTAGGTGCCTGTGGACTTCCAGGATGCCATCTCTGCGTCCATGGCTGTCTGCCAGTGAGAGGAGTACTCACCCGCGATCGCCTCAGCGTAAGAGCGCGGGGTAGGGATGTCTGGTGCATCCGGGTCTCCCTCAGGGGCAAGCAGCATGGATACGAGATGAGGCGCAGCGGCTGCAAGACACTCAAGGCCCTCCTGCCTGTCCTCAAGGACGTCCGTGCCAAGAGCACACTCACCCCCGACGGACGGAGGACAGACAGACGCAGACTCAGCAACAAGACTGGCGGCGTAGTCTAGACGACAGTGAGCAGCAAAGGCAACAAGCTCAGTGACTAAGGCAGACGCAGCAGCAGACTCAAACGAAGGGTCAGTGGCAACAGTGGCAAGCAGACGCGTGACAGTAGAGTGCTCAGCACGAAACCGGTCAAACGCAGGGTCAGCAACGACAGGCAGAGAGGACGCAGGGGGAGGCGGCAGAGGAACACGCGGTGAAGGAGAGGAAGGACGACGAACTACAAGGGGAGGGCCGGAGACAGCCGGTTGGCTCTGAAGAGGAACACGACGACCGGAACTGACAGGGGAGACAGGACGCGACACAGGCTCACGACGCTCTGCAAGGCCACCAGGCTGCTCTGTGTATGGAGAAGGAGCAGGCAGCGGGGAGCCAGGCTCTAACGGAAGACCAGTAGACGAGGGAAGACTGAGAACCTGGCGAAGTGCAGAGTCAGGTGGTGGCTGAGACGACGGAGACGGTGGAGCAAATAACAGGCGCGGCTGAGCAGTGCCACCAGCACGAGCAGCACCAGCCCCACCAGCAGCTCCAGCACCTCCAGCAGCTCCCGTACCCCCAGCAGCTCCAGCAACTCCAGCAGCTCCAGCACCTCCGGCAGCTCCAGTACCCTCAGCAGCTCCAGCACCGCCAGTAGCTCCAGTACCTCCAGCAGCACCACCACCAGCCCCAGCAGCTCCAGTACTCCCAGTACGAGCACCTCCGGGACCAGCGACACCAGCAGAAGAACCTCCAGCAGGAGAGCCCTGAGGTGCAGAAGTGGGACGCCGACGGCGACCGTACCAGTCGTGCAGCTGCTGGGAGGTGAGGGGCACACGCGGACGAAGACGGCTACTCCAAGGAGACCGCCTAACAGCAGTCTCAGAACCCTCGGGCAACTCACCCCCAGACTCAGCACCCACAGGCTCCGCACACACAGGCTCAGCACCCCCAGACGCAGCACCTCCAGACGCAGTACCCCGAGACGCAGCACCTCCAGGCTCCACACGCTCAGCGCCCCCAGACTCAGCACCCCCAAGCTCCGCACTCCCCGGGACAGCACCACTCGCAGCAGGACCGGAGTCACCAGTGACCTCAACAGGCGCAGTCGCAGGGGGGTCTACCTGAGAGACACCTGAAGGAGCAGGACCTGGTGCGGGGAGGGGGTCTACCTGGGGAGGACCTGGGGCGAGAAAGTGCGGCGGGGGGGGGCGAGGAGCAGTGCGGTAGGGGAAGAGGCGGTAAAAGGGGACGGACTCGTCAAAGGTGACGTCCTGGGACGCAAAGACACGGCGCGAGGCGGGGTCGTAAAACTTCCAGCCAGGCGCGTCAGGGACTAAGCCAAGGAAGACACAAGGAATGGCGCGAGGGGAGAGCTTGTCCGCGGTGGTATCGCGGACAAAGGCACGAGCACCCCTGACCCGGAAACGCGACGCGTCGCCAACCGTCCCCGTCCACAGCAGTGTGGGCGAGGTCTCCGGCAAGGAGACACGGGGCCAAAGGTTGAGCTGATGCGCGGCGTACCGGACCGCAAACGGCCACAGAAAATGGGGGGCAGCCGCATGGATCATGGAGGTACGAGCGACCTCCATGACTAATCCAATGCGGCGCTCAGCAACCCCATTCTGCTGCGGAGAGGCCGGAAGCGTGAAAGTCTGGCGGATGCCGTGCTCCGCACAGAAGGCTGCCAAG